AATTTTAACGCAAAATTGTTGGACGTTGATAAAAAATGAAAGCGACACCATAATTCCCTCCGATCTATTTCCTCAACATTATGCAATAGTAGAAAATACACACAGAAAAATACATACTATATACAAGTAAATATTACTTGTTTCAAGTATTTCAAAAGTTTATATATATCCGCAAATCTATCATAAGTTCATCATAAACATCAAATTTATTCAAAATGTATTCTGAATCCTAGTAAATTTAATACTTCAATCAAGAATATTAAATTATATAATTGAAAGAAATACATTAAATTTTTCTGATCTAATAAATTTTCTTACATTAAATTAACCATATCTGACTTTTCTTCGATAAAATTTTACAATATTCTTCAAAAGAAAATATTTACTTTTTTTGAGTATATAATAACGTGTTTTTCTAAAATTTGTGACAAGTTTATTTTAAGACTATTATTAATAAAATATTCTTTGTTAAAGATAACTGCTACTTAAAAGAAGTAAAGTAAACTGAGTAATCATTTTACTTAGCAATAGAATAATATCTTTCTGTGTGTATATGTTAAGAGATGTACATTTGATATAGCTAATGAATAAAATTTATCATAATATATTATGATAAATAAATATTTGACAGATATAATCAAAAGTATTCTATTGTTACACGGAAAAAAAAAGAAGTGTCAAATCAAAACTTATATACTCAACGCGTTCATTGTTTCGTATATACGCACAACAATCTATAATCTTGATAATCTTAAATTTCAACAATATTACAGTCTTATTTCAATATTATAACTGTCACCTGAAGAATACAATATAATTATCTTGATAATTATTATTACAATCTTCGATTTGAAAATATTTTCTATCCAACATTTTATCTTTTTCATTCAAGAAAATTATTCTTAAATAATAAGAATATATTTTTCTTGGTTGAACTATATAAAATAGCTTCATCCAAGCAAGTTTTCTTTGTTTAACGCAATATAATCTCATTTTAAAGATTTCCAGATTAAAACTAAAGATATTTTCAAAAGAAGAATTTCTTTCTTTTCCTGAATATTATTTGATGAACAAAATCCAACATAACGTTTAGATGAAATAAGGAGATATATTTCTGACGGATCATGCGCGACGTCACATCTACTCGATATTTCCTATGGACATCCCGCATAATGCGACGCATTTGTTTATCGCTCACAAGCGACGTTTTAATTTCCCGGTTATTTGTAATAGAGGTCGTTACGAATTTGTGCTGCGAGATGCAGATTCAATTAAATAGCAATGACGATGCCGAGCAGAGCAGCGAATGTTCGTGACACTGGGCCGCAGGTGTTTCCAACGACCAGTCTTCGTGTTCGGAAATGGTATTTACTACTAGCGATTGGTTGGAAAATTCACTCGGACGCGCGTTACATGGGACGCGTTTCGTACAATCGCCATCGTACTTCTATTATTGATTATTCCGACCTTCCTTTAGGAGGAGTCGCTACTATTCCTGAGATAATGTACATCTACATTTATTTTTGTTTTCGATTAATGTACGTTTTTGTACATTAATTGAAAAAAAAAAATATAGCGAAGATTGTATTCGAATTTATATGAAATACGTATGTTGGAGAGAGATCACTTCTTTTATATCGTAAATCTTAGAAATGAGATAAAAAGCAGCTTATCCTGCCTGCTATCCTGACAAATGAAAGGCATTCATTGCATAGATTTCAATGGTTAAAAAAAGTTTCAGAGAGCTTTAAAGAGACTAAATGTGTGTAAATTGCGTTTTATTCGTACCTGTGTGTGATATATTGTATATAAAAATATATAAAAATTTACAAGACTTTTTCAATGTCATTTTAACTTTACTTATATTTTTAAAATACAAGCACAAGATGATTTTCCTGTTATATTAATTTATAAACTCACGAATAATACTTGCATATAGATAGTCGTTGTTTATAATTCTTTAATATTGCACTTGTAACTAAGATGCCAGACTCGGAGATACACGCAGAAGTATCGACACACTTGTTATTTCCCACCAGAAATACTGTATGCGCGTGGATGTTGTACCCGCGCGATGTTGTCATACCATTAACCCTTATGGGATTACAGTTTACAACATATATATACTACATAATCTAACTACCAAGTTGCTAGACAAAACGATTTATTCGAATACACAAGCTCGTTTAAATTAATGTTATCTTTTCAAAATACGATCCTTCTTTATTTATAGCCTTGTGTATAATTCCAGTTGTATTTATATTGTTATAAGAGTACTTTCTTAAAATTCGCTTTGAATCGCAGTTTTTTTCGAACTCGATAAATGCTTATATGACTTGGAAGACGTAGCCTATATCATTTCTTTATATAATTATATATATATATATCTTCATAAAATATCTTTTTACTTTTTTAAAAATTTGATCATCTCACAGCATATTTTAACAAAAAAATTGACGTTACTCTTTGAAAATATTACTTGATATTTTATTAAATAAACAAAATTATTATAAAAATTAGAATATTTTTTTTCATCGGAATAAAACGTTTTGACATATAGTCAAAATATAAAGAAATTAATTTACATATTTTGTCACATTTCCAATATTGCCAATTTCGGAAAAAACATGTTTATGATTATAGATTTCTAGATATTTCATGTTAAAAATCCAAAAGTTAAAATTATGGGACTCAGTGAAACGTTAAGAGAAAGCCTGAGAAATTCGTAAAAATTTTTGTTCCGTCCATTGTGATAAAAGTGGCCTGTACATTACCTCTGGCTAGCGACGTCATGAAATTCTCCGGATAACCACCGGAGAATTTCATTTTGTCAAATAAAACTTGTCCGTGGACAGTTTTGCCGGACATAGGAGTGAGTAGAGAAAAACCGCAGGAATCCCGTTATTAATCTTTTTCAGAGACACGGAACGTGTTTTACGCGCAATTTTCAAATATGCTGAGTATTTTTGCCAGCTTCGCCAGCAAAGTTCTAAAAATATTCAAATTTAACGCCTCTTTTTCTATTCTTCTCGAATTTATAGTTAAAGATTTGTGATATCATGAATTCCACGAAACGAAAAATAATTTTAAAAAAATATTTAATTTAATTTCCTGTACTATTGCAACAACATGCGTTTATAAAAGTTGGTAGCGGTCTCAAAAAGTGCTGCTGCGAAGTCGACCGTAGATGTTTACGAATTCATAATGTTTCCTTTGAATAATATTTTCATTTGACTTGAGAATTTATTCTCTTGAAAAACTTGAACGGATAAACTTTGTTTTCGAGACTCTCCCTGCTAAACCGAGACTTTGTTTTCAAAGCTTCTGTGTTAAACGCAGAACTTTTCATCCTCGAGCTCACTTTTTGATGTGATTAGATTCGCCCCGGAAATGTAACTTCCTCATAGATGCGAAACTCTTTTGAGCTTCTCAAAATTTTAAAAGCGATCTAGTTACCTTTTAATTATAACCTTTTTATTAAAATTGAAATATCAACTATTGGCCGAATATCGGCCCATTTTCTAGATTAATATTAGTACTACAAATATTTTCCTTATATAAATATATATTTATAATGGAATTTTTATATTTTTTAAATTTACGAATGCGTGCTATTTAATTTCGTGATTTACTTTCATCTATAATTTTAATTTACTTTTCTCCAATTTATTTTTTACTTAAATGTATAATATTAAAGTATAATATTTTTAATAAATGTTTTACATCAAAGCAGATTTTATAAAATAAAGCAAATACCTTTGTTAATGCCTTTAAAAGAGACAAAAGATTTTCTAATGAGAGAAAGCATGCGAATTTTTTTAGGACTTGCATAAAACATGTAAATGTTTTATTGTTAGTAGTATATTGTGCAACTTATACGTGTAAAATGTGTTATATCCTATTGCAAATCAGTAATTACTAGTTAATTTATATTATTCGATCGACATTGTCGATAATCTATTATTTGTCGCCATTATGATATTGTGTATGCTGTCGCTAATTATTCCATCTGTGTATTTCATCGAATGTTGCCTAAGGTAACTGTGGATCCGTTTATTTTTTCGCCACTTCAAAGTCGGAGTTTTAGTTGGGGATGAATAGAGAACGGACAAAATTAAAGCAGACAGATAAATCGGACTTCAAAGTATCTTTGCAACTCGCGGAAAGTAGCGCAAATACGCGTGAGCGCCAAGATAAAGAGGATAGAAGAGAAAGAGAAAAAGATGAATTAACGCTGGGATAGAGAAGTAGTATTAATTTTCTCTAAATGTGCGGAGATTCCGCCGCATCATTCTCCGCTTCTTCCGAAATCTTACTCTTTCCTTTGTCTATAATGTCCGCAATAATTTAACGAATTTCGTCAGTCAAAATCTAAAGAGACCGAATGGTCTTTTACATTAAATTCAAAACATTCTCACGAAAAGAAAAAATTCTCGATTTTTAAGAAATTAAATTTTTGTTTAAAACATATATTTTTGTAAAAACGTGTTTTTTCTGTTAACTTAATAAGTTCGAAATGCGATAAAATACTTAATTAATCTCTCATCTTTATCATTTCTTCATTTTATGTGTATATAATTCGTTCTGACAATACGCATAAATAAATGCTAATTATTTATTTAATAAGATATTTCTTTTATCTGTAATGATGATATCAATCAATTAATTTACACAAATTTTAACGAATTATTTAGAATTTTAAGGATTTTAAGACATTTGATCAATTTTTCGAGTACTATAAAAAATCAATATTAAACATAAGGTTATCAGTATCATTGATACTGGTCTCTTAATCCCAGTGGCAAATTTTCCATCAGTAGACCTTTAAATCAAATTGTGCCTAGAAACCGTCGATATGACAAGAGGCCTCCAAAAATCAAATTGCACTTGAGGGTTTAAAAAAATCCGCTACTGTGCATCTTACTAATTGTAATAGCATAGTTTGACACTTGAAGAGAGACTTTACATATAAATAAATGTCCTTTTTTTTTATTTTATAGGAGCAGTAGGCGGAGAAGGCGGTGACGAGGATGACAAGGAGAAGGAAGAGGAAGCCGAGAGAGAGAGGCTGGAGGCTATTAGAGAGGCTGAGGAGCGAAGAAAGGAGAAACATCGCAAAATGGAAGAAGAACGGGAGAAGATGCGACAGGAGATCAGAGACAAGGTTAACAATGTTATAGTATTCTCGTTTAGGCACAGTTTTTAAGGTCGCTCTACAGAAGAGAGTGATTAAGAGAGTATAATTCTTATAAGCTCATATTTAAAATGTGTAAAAATGTATTTCTTTTATCTATATTAATTTATTAATAGACATATAAAGAGATGAATTTAATTATTTTTCAAACCAACACTTTTTCAAGAGAAATTTTTAAAATAAAATCAAAGACATCAAACAACATATGTTTATATATATGATATATAGTTCGTATTTCGTTCACTTCTGCATTAACCTGAGATATAAATTTACAATCGCTCTATTTAATTAATAGCTTTTGTAGCTATTTAAGATTCTCTCTCAATCTCTCTTCAATCAAAGCTCTCTTCAATTAAAAATACTATTGCATAAATGTCATAATTCTGAATTTTTCATTTCATTTAAGATAAATTTATCCAAATTTAAGATAAATTTATCGATAATGTTTTTACTAATAGTATATAACAAGGGGTGGCTCAGAAAAGATAGTGAGAAATCACTTCTTTTCACGTTTCTTGACCTATTCTTTATGTATACATGTATACCTTTTTCTCTTATAAACAATATATGTATACATATATATGTGTGTGTGTGTGTGTGTGCGTGTGTGTGTAATTTGAATACATGTTACGAGATGGTGTACAATAGTTTACAAAATAGTATCGAATAGTTCGGACATAGTTTTGCCATTAGTTAGTATTATATGAAAACTTTATATCTTCTGATTAATTACAAGTGGATTTTATTCCTGTTTTATATATAAATATTAGAGTCCAAATCTAAATATTGCTATATGTTTTTCCGCGTATTCCACAAGAGTCCTCGATTTCATCTGGGTCATGTCAGCCTCGTTGACTCTGTCCTGACAGGACAATACGTCAGGATTGATAATGGCGCGATCCAGCGTGCATTTTACATCTCTCTCTCTCTCTCTCTCTCTCGCTTTCTCTCTTCTAGTCCCTTCCCTCTATTTCCTCTTTTCATCCACACGTTTGTTTCCCGCAAAACTAGTGAATGCATTGGAAGTTTTTGCGAAATACCGTTGGCGTACATTGTTCTATCCTGATCAATGCCTCGACGGATTTTATTTTCTAAGTGATTCATTCTGATTGCTTTGTCCTCGAGAAAAATGTCAAGTGGTGTAACTGATCTCGGATCAGTTTTAATAGAAATTCAAAAATTAATAACAATTCCTCCATATTTATTAATAATTCTAAATTATTGTAATATTAGATAAAAAAATACGTTAAATTATTTTTTTTTATTACTACACGTGCATTTCTATATTATAATAAAATCTCAAAAAATTATAGCAAAATAGAAAGAATTGATTAACATCTTCCTTCACTGACGTTTGTCCAACCACGTTGGTGACGTTGAACTTTGCGTGACGTTTATTGGAGTGGAAACGCGATTATCTCGCACGTAAACAGGAAATGATATCGTTGAAGGTACTAAACACGTAATTCGACGTTGTCGGATGCAGTTTAATGATTTGTGTGCGTGCACGCGTGCACGCGTATATGTATATGCGTGTGTGGGTCATACTGACCGCACTGCTGCAGTTGTAATTCTACATGCGGAAATGGTCGCCGAGTGGTCGAATGTTGTAACTATTATCGCGGCATTATAACGAACCGAATATAGAGGATATCTTGGATTAACTAGATCATTAAATTGACAATATGCGTATGCTTCAACGAAATTTGATTTAATAATTCAAGAATTGGAATTCTAAATCTCTGTTTCTCCCATTTGCGAGCTCCCTCTCTCTCTCTCTCTCTCTCTTCCTTTCTTTCTCTCTTTCTCTCTGAAATATAAAACATTGAAATCTAAAAACATTTTTTACAAAATGCGCAAGAAATTTAAAGATTTAGAAAAATAAAAATACTTAAATCGATAGTATTTCGGGATTCAAAATTCGATTCAGCAAAATTTATTGCTAAATTTGAGCAAATTTTAAAGAAGCCATTAAAATTGTATAAAATAGTACTCGTAAAAAGTACAGTTGAAAGTTGGACAGATGTAATAACGGAGAAATGGAATTTCAGCATTTTCATTATTCCATGAAATCCGGATAAGAAACGACGATATTCCTCGGATTTTTCATCTTCCTGCGGTTTCATACGTAAAGCAAGAAGATTTCGACAGAATATAATTAACACTAATGGCTGCTTCATCATAAGCGGAGGAACTACCTTCAAATCCTTCTTTTCCTCGTCAGTGGAAACGTGATTCTTTGAAAACGAGTGGAAAAATTGAGACGCGAGAGCCGTGATCTCTCATGAGAATAGAACATATACTTTTACTGTGTGGTAGTGGAAGAGGCTTTTCGCATGGTAATCGCATTGGGCCAGATCAAATCCGATTTCCTATCTCGACTAATGAACGAAGTGGGACTTTGTTATAGAAAAGTCCCTGTGCAATTTAAAAATATTCTTTGTTGCTTTATTTAGAAAGAATTACTTTATTTAGAAGATCTTGAGAACTCGTCGTAGAAGAAGTGACAGCGGTTTAGCTGTGGGCATATGTATTTTATATATACATATATATTTTTTTTTATTATTTTATATATTTTATTATCTATTTCATTATACATATACGTATAAGTGGCATTTTATATACATATAGTATTATATTAGTGTAAATATTACTATATACCACAAAGCTGCGCATTAGTATAAACTAAATCCGATTAAGATTCACAGAGCGCATTTATATCCGTGATGTGCAATTGCTATACATTTCCAATGACGTGAAACTGATAACCAATCAATTTGTAGGATTTTTGAAAAACAATTAACATAATTAGTTTCCATAAAGTAAGCAAATCCTTAAAAAAGCATATTAAAAGAAATATTGAATATATTTTTTCATTATAACATTGAAAATAATTAAAATATTTAAAAGTCGACAAATATTTAGTATAAATATAATATTCAGTAAACATGCCAATATAATATATTCCCATTTATATATATTGTCATAAAAAATCGCAATAAAAAAAGGAGATAATATAAAAGTAAGGAAATCAAGAAAGATTATAATAGAGCATATCATAAATTTAGCAGAATCATCGATTAAAACAATTTCTATGCAATATGCATATATTACCACCCTGTTACCACTGTATGTCACAATTGAGAAAAATTGCCTTGAAAATCGAATATTGATTGATGCAAAAAATAAATAAGAGAGAAAGAGAAAAAGAGAGATTTCTAGAGAATACATCTGAAATTTCTCCTATCGACTTAATATCGCTCGTGAGGAAAATATTACCCGGTATTACATCTGACACTTTATTTCCGCCTCCTCTCCCGTTCTCGATCATTCTGTTCTTGGTCTTTGGCGGTATATTGACGAAAAATTGTTGAAGAAACGACATTATTGCACATTGTCGTGATAAATTCCCCTCCCGATATCATCATTCTTGTCGCAACAGTATTCGAGTCTATTATGTATGTACTTTATCGCATCGTTATATCATTGTTCACTTTCTGTTCACAGCTTCTTTTATTATTCCTTAATCATTTCATTCGCGTTTTTCTCTCTCTCTCTCTTTCGGTAATAATACAGTAATGATTCATATAAAGTTATAATATAAATAATTATAAGAATTGACGTAATGTTGATAATGAATAGCATTAACAGCGTTAATTGTCATATCGCAATTAACATCTAGATTAATTATTTCTATTAAATATTTTAATAAATGATCTTCGAGGGAAGAAGCATTCAACGATACAACGGACGTGAGAAGAAAACTACGAGGAAGCAAAATAGGAAGAGAGAAGATTGAACTTAACTGGGGTCAAATTGACTCTAGTAGGGAGTCCCTGCATTCAATATGGCGACTTCCTAATAGAGTCAGGCTGACTCCTTTTAAGACGTTCACCAGATGAGGAACCGTCTCGCGGAAGTACTTAAGAGCATGCGCTTTAAACGAAGTTAAGGCCATTTAATTTACAAAGCGTTAGTTAATTTAATGATACTGAGATGAAAGTGTCGCGAGCGATCCGCATCTACAGGTTTATGGAAAACAGGCATTGGAATGTCGCGTGTATGATGGGATCGATTGAGTCCGTGTTACGTAATATTAATTATAATCAGTACAAATTATATCAAAGAAGAAACCTTAAAATTTATATCGTCTATATAAGCAAAAAAAATATTTTTTTTATATCTTTTGCCGAATGATGCGTAATTAAATAATTATTTTTGTACGTATTAGCAAATGAAAAATCTAATTACTATAAAAATAGTTACTGTAGAGGAGTATCAATCATAACGCGATACACGTTCTTTAAAGCCCTCTATAATTCCAAATCCCGACAGAGATCTCAGATTCCAATCTTCCTGTTACGGCGATAAAATGACACCGTATCAAATATATACTGTCTATTTATAGTAGAAATTTATGATACACACAGGGAGCATCGAGTACCTCTCAACCCCCCCCCCCCCTCCCCTCCCCCTATAATTTTTTTTCCCAACTTTTGCTTTTGCCTACTAATAATAATATGGTGCAAATTAATAAATGCTTTTATATATAAATATATAATTAATAGTCGTAGATATTTCGATATTTCACCACATTTCAGAGATTTTGCGAAAATTCACCCCCTTGCTAAAATTTTAGCAAAATATAAAATTGTCCAAATTTAAAAAAATTGGTAAAACAAAAAATTAAAAAATTAATCATGTAGTTATCAAGAGATTAATTAGTAATCTTTTTGGATAGTAATAGCTAATAGAAGGCGGCAAGGGATCATTCTCTTACGCGATCGAACAGTTATATAAGAATGAAGAATACATCGAAATGAGAGCCGCATGAAAGGACGCAGGCCTCAAAAATGTCGCAGTGCGACTCACTTTGCGGGCTTCGTTAGAAAGGCAATATACTGTACTAATACTATTAAAATAATATAAAGCAATGAAAAAAGAATAATTTATTCATCATTACCGAGAGTTGTGATTATTATACGTCTATAATTAAAAATTTTACAAACATTTTTATGTTGTATTGACAATGAACGACATTCATAGTCGTTTCTTGAGGAATAAAAATTATTCATATATACATGCGTGTATTATACGCATGTCTAAAGAAAAGTTCTAAGACACGATAAATGCCTCCCCTCCCTCCCCAATATTATATATATTTTGAGCGCATATTGACCTTCAGTTCTTTCTCCATTTTTGATTATATAATTATCGTGATTTTTTCTTTTATTTTAATTACCCGATTTATTTTCAAATATGTAGTTTGTGTGAAGATATGTCAGTCAGGAAAGCCATATGATAAATCACTTTATATACATACTATATGTATGTATATATAAACAACCTTAATCCGGCGTATGATGTTCTCATAATTTCGAACATGAATGGACAGAAGTGCAGACATAGATGTAGGAGAACGCACGGGCATGTCGCATATGTTCGGGGAACATTAATTAATGTCAGGATCAGAACATCAGATTTGAAACTGCCGTGAGAAACGGTGCTCGTTTATCCTTGCTCTATCTCCTCGACGCAGTGCGGCATGTACATCGAGAAATTGAGAGTTGAATGAAAGCGAGCGCTTGTTTATGATCTATGTAACATATATGATCGAGCTATAAGATCGTATCATCAAAATAGAATTCGCTTATATATATATTTGAATAATGTTTCCATTTTTAGAAACATTCTTGAAATTTGTTAATTGAAACACCAATCGGGATATCAGTCAAAAATCTAGGAAGGTTAAATATGAATTTAAATGTGTAATGAAAATATATTTTATATTATATAAATGAGTTAATATGTAAAGTAAACAAGAGAGATAGAGATAGAGAAATCATACAAGTTTTGTAATCTATACCACACAATGAACTGCACACAAAAATAGTATAATATAAAATAGTGTATTTATTACACATATTCAAATAGTGTTACTTGTCTTTTTAAATCGCGAATAATACAGATATAATTTATTTTTCCCCCAAAACGACTCACTTGGATGGAATAAAGGCATTCAGAATAATCGATTGTGCATTATCGTTCGTTGCGAAACAAATCATTTACTGAAAGGCACTAATAATTAATGAGGCCTTGGTCAGTGGTATAATCACGATGCGCATATTTCCCAGATAATGGTATAATACCTACATATACATATATAAGGCGCATACATACACGCGATGACAGTACATACTTGTACGACTAATGTCATGTCCGGCTTGCATCACAATCGAGCTTATTGTTTGTCGTCAGAATACAAGTGCCAATAATATATATGAGTATAGTTTGTCACCAGAATATAAAATGCCAATAATATATATCAGACGATAATCTGATATAAATAATATATATCAAATAATCTAGAGAGGGAATATATAACTTATTTTATTTAT